TGGACGTCAACACGACGGCGAGAAAAGTCTTCGCAATGACATTTGATCCTCTGATCATTGGCCGCGCGACCATGGGGACGAGAACTAAAATAACTTTCACAGCGTGGCGCGAAGCTTAAAATAGATTGAAAAAACTATCATGGGGCATGGGGATGTGTTCTCTTAGATCATCCTCTCTTGGTCAAACTCGATACCATACAAATAGAGATATTTCGTGATTTCAGTTTGAAGGTATGTACGCCGACTAAATAAATACTTAAAAGGTTTTTAGATCTAACCTTGCATTAACTTCGTTGGTATTTAAAAGAAAATAGAGTTTCCCTGTATTTATATATTTCTCTGTGTACGAGAGCGATAAAATTGCAAAGAGAAACACCAAACGGCAGCCATTTTGAAAATGTGACAACACCACCTGCCTAAAAGGTACCGGGGCAGCTCTAACGTTGCTCATTGTCGATTTAAACACCGCAAGGGGTACCAAGACATGGATTGTAAACCCTAACATACAACGATCACCCTCGTCACTCCCCCCCCCCCCCCCCCCCCCAGCCAGGACCTTGATCCGTTTCTCTTTGCAATGTAAATGTAAATGACTTACCGTTGCAATCACAGAACTCAAGATCACAAATAATTTTCTTTATATCTTTCATGATTTTCTCTTTACAAGCCGGGAAACGTTGGGCTTCCTCCATGAAAGTAAACAGCACAAGGAAAGTGAAAAACACAATCCACTTTTGAGCAGCCATGTCTGAAGGCAAATAAACATAAAAAATTTAGCTGGTAATTATTGATTGCGTGGAACTTTTCTTTTATATTTTCTTATACACTGTCTATGATAAGGTTTATATTTTTAGTTTTAAGATTTTTAAATCGTAAACTTGTTAGTTCTTAGTATTAGGAATATGTTCTTTATTTTTTTTTAAGTGATTAAATTATTATTATTATTATTATTATTATTATTATTATTAATAAATATTGACTGGGCCGGGCACCAAATAGCTCGCAACCTTGGTTTCCATCACTCACAGTAGTAGGGCGCGGTAATAAATTATAACTAGAAAAAGGTATAGATTCTGTTTCTGAACGAAGAAAACTTTACTGCACGGTAATACGAAACTAAGGCGACTTGTATAAATATGTAGAAAAAGCATTGGCACCCCCACCCCCTTCCCCCCCCCCCCCCCACCACCACCACAAACACCATAAACAACCATCGAAACAACAAATTTACTGACCGACGCACCGCTCAATGCTCAGTATTTACTGTCAGTCGCTCTTGATTTCTTATCGATGATAAGTTGACATAGATTTATCGTGGTAAATCAAAATACATTAAAAAATATCGTCTCTTGAAACACATTTTCAAATGAAAAATGTCAATAAAAGGTATTTTTTCAACGAATTTTCTGGTTGTGAAAGGGCATAATTACATGCTAAGCTTCAAATAAATAAATTTCAATATAAATAAATTTCAATATATGTTTTTTTAGAGGAAAGACACATCGGCCGTTGTTGGTTTTCAAGGAGACGTTTAAGGCGTATAACTGTTGAGTTATTAACCACTTTCAAGAAGCTCTTACAATAAAATGAACGACATAAGATTTAGCATGGATTACCGGCAGATACCATTTTCAAACGCAAAGAAATCAAACGTCCGAAAACGAAAAGCGCTGAAAGGGTTGAATTTGAACTGATATTTTAGTTGTTGTAGAATACAAAAACCTAATCAGTGAATGAAGCAATATTTTATTTGCAGTGTCTGTAAAATAATGTTAAAATATTCCCGTAATGAATATTATTAGTGGCTGACATTTAAAAACAATGACTGTCATGAATTCATACTTCTTCAGTTCTTGCAACAGACAATGAAACGGAACTTATGCAGTGTTTCTTCGCAGCCATGGCCATGAATTCGGTGCTCGGCTATTGATCGCATTTTGTCGTCTGAAACTCTCGAGTTCTTTTGGAATAATCTCCTGTGCTCCCATTGGTTACGAACATGGTCCATTGTTATTTATTAACATCGGAAATTTCAGTGTGATCGCCCAAAAATCGGTCGCAAGCGACGGTCGCACGGAATGTTTGATATCGTGCGATAAAAAGTGACGATAGTGTATGAAATTCAACTGAAACTAGTGCACCGCCCCCTTAAATCCGCACACTTGTAATTGGCGATGACAGGGGCGGCGTGCGCGACGATAAACCGTACAGACCATGTATGATCATGTGACCCCACTCTCGTACTCAGTACGAAGATTCTGTCCTTTCTGGGTACAAATAAATGGTTGTTGTTGTTGTTGTACGAGATTGATGTGACCCCCAAAACGACTACTGATTGGGCAGGATCGTTTTGCGTCTATTGGTAGTGGTCGCAGGCACGGGCCAGATGGGCGACGAACAAATGCGACGTGCAAAGCGCGCGCAGGAAACTAGCCTCTTACCGCGCTTTCGTACACACACCCTGTTCAAGACTTCCAGCAAAGAAACTTTAGAGCGCTACCCTATTTAGGACGCAAAATGTGAAATTGTTTTTCCTGTTCAAGACGAAAGACTCCGTAAACCATCTGTCGAGCGGTAGCAAGACCTCTTGGCTAGGACATATAAGAGGGACGTAAACCCCTACGCGGAACATATGCTATTGTATCTCTCCCTCTTTTCACTTAGAACAAACTCTTATAGTAACAAGTACCGGCCGAAGACTATTCATTTCTTGTTCTAGCCATATAAAAAAGAGAGTGCAATGGCATTTACCATTACACTGATATCGATTAAAATCGTCTCAACGAATGAAAATGGATACACTGTACAACAAAATATAAAGATCAAGACACCATCATCATAATATAAAATATAATATCTTACCTCGCTAAATTCAAGAGTGCTTTTCGGCTGATGCGAAGCTTCTCTCGATCGCAGGCTTCAGTGTGAAGTGAATCCTGTGTAGCAGTTGACGGTAATTTAAAGGAGCAGTTACAGTGTGCCTTGATACAGCTGCCAATTAGTGCCAGGACAACTTGTTTGAGTGACAACGAAACCAAACAGAAAGCTAGACATGCAATAACAGGTCTATGTTTGTCAAATAACAGAATTTAAATTAAATGAATAATGGCACGCCATATATCTTGGTATATGAAATCAGAACGGAATTTGGAAATTTTCCTAGAAAGATTCTGCTCAGGAAATTTGATCACGCCCAATCTGTTTTCTAGGAGTAATGGAAACCAGTTAGTTACAAGCAACTACAAGCTATAGCTATTTGCGTTCGCTCTGTAACGTTGTGTTTAAAGTAAACTGACCAAAAACAAACAGGGACAGAAACAGTGTCTGTAAAATGCTTTTTGAGATGCTATTATAATGATGTGCGTCGCTTGCACTTGCACGCTACGGCGGTAACACAGACTCGATGCTTAGAAACGAACTTTTCACAGATCAAACAATACAGTATCGTGCACGCAATGAAGAGGATCTTCGCAGATATCTGAGTTATAAAGAACTGAATAAAATTGTTGATTTCGGTTGAATTAGTTTATTTTGAATTATTACAATCTAGTTGGGGCACGGACTATGCTTCCCAATCTAGACTCCCCTCCCCCCTCCCTCCCATGGTACTTTTGAGCCATTTATTGTGTAGAAAACAAACTAACTGAAAAATAAGAACAATGAGGGGTGGGTCCAAACCCCAAAAGCCTAGATTTGGAAGCTGCACACCCGCGCCCCAACTAGAATGAAATAATTCACACACATACGCACACAAAAATTCAGTTCTTTATAACTCAGATATCTGCGAAGATCCTCTTCATTGCGTGCACGATACTGTATTGTTTGATCTGTGAAAAGTTCGTTTCTAAGCAACGAGTCTGTTTTACCGCTGTAGCGTGCAAGTGCAAGCGACGCACATCATTATAATAGCATCTCAAAAAGCATTTTACAGACACTGTTTCTGTCCCTGTTTGTTTTTGGTCAGTTTACTTTAAAACGTTACAGAACGAACGCAAATAGCATGGTCCATTGTTATTTATTAACATCGGAAATTTCAGTGTGATCGCCCAAAAATCGGTCGCAAGCGACGGTCGCACGGAATGTTTGATATCGTGCGATAAAAAGTGACGATAGTGTATGAAATTCAACTGAAACTAGTGCACCGCCCCCTTAAATCCGCACACTTGTAATTGGCGATGACAGGGGCGGCGTGCGCGGCGATAAACCGTACAGACCATGTATGATCTATAAGAACAAGTTCCTATAAGATCCCACAAGCTTGCCGCTTTAATATTTATCTTGCATAAATAAAGTTTGTATGTATGTATGTAATGAATTTATACAAGAACCATAAATCGTACAGAACGAAGATATATATATTTTTTAATGAGAGATCTCGACTGTCTTCGCGGGTGATACAGTTGCAATAGACACGCGTGTGGTTATTTGTTCAAAATTCACCCCATCTGCTCCTTCATGTTCGTTGAAGAGAAAAAAACTATGGCAGGTTTCAGTTGCGCTTTGAAAGAGAGTCTAAGGGGTTAAATTAGCTAATATGGCGTAAATATGAAGAAGAGCTTTCCAAAACTTGGAAAACGTAAAACAAAAACAAACGACATTATATTCAGTAGTCATTAGAAAATCCCTAATACATCGAGCCGTCCTGTTACTGCGGGTGATTCTCTTTGACTTTCTATTCATTGTGGCTATCCATTTTCAAGCGATGATCAGATGAAAGACAGCTGAAGTTGTCGCTGTGCTGGATTTTAGAACTGTGCCTTGTATATAAGTATCAATAGTAATAATAATATTTAAAGCCAGGAGGCTCTCTCACCAAAGTGATTTTCAGAAAGGTCCTGGAAAAATAAATATATGTATTTGCGTTATCATTTGTTTCACGTTAAACTTGTTATTAAGTTCTCTTCTGAGGAATAATGTGTTACAGCGATAAACTAACAGTTTGCTGGTCTCCATTGATACTCCTGGTTGGAGAGAGCCACTATGAGAGCAAAATACACAAATGGCCTCCGGCCGGCCAGCACTTGAACCCGGACTGCTCGATCCGGAGTCCAACGCGCTAACCAGTATGCCACCGCATCTTCCACACTGAGAATAATAGCTACCTGCTTCCTTTATTATATTATCTAAGATTTTAAGACTCAGAATCGGAAGAATTGCAGCCCTTTTCTCTTGATAGCATGAAAGGAGTGACCGATAAGAAGAAAAAAGGGCGAAGGATTTGTACATGTTACGTGTTCATGCAGCTGCATTGCAAAGGACATGGTACTTTTGAGCAATTTAATTTATTGTGTAGAAACAAACTAACAAAACTCACGATCGAGTGAAGACGAAACTTGAGTATTAATATCGATCCGAGTATAGTCAGATATCTGCGAAGATCCCCTTCCTTGCGTGCACGATACTGTATTGTTTGATCTGTGAAAAGTTCGTTTCTAAGCAACGAGTCTGTGTTACCGCTGTAGCGTGCAAGTACAAGCCAGACACAGTCGACGCACATAATTATAATAGCATCTAAAAAAATCCTTTTACAGACAAGTGAAGCGTTTTTGTCCCTGTACGGGGTGTATGTAAAATCCGGAACACACCCGGAACACCCCGGAACACCCCGGAACACCCCGGAACACTCCCGGAACACCCCGGAACACCCCGGAACACCCCCGGAAACACCCCCGGAACACCCCGGAACACCCCCGGAACACCAACGGAACACCCCAGGAACACAAAAAATATAAAAATAATAATAAAATAATAATAAATAAATAAAATAAAAACAAATATATTTATATAGTGGCTGAAGTAGTGAAATCGAACATGGTCAGCGGTCAAGAGCCTTTAACGAATCGACTGATACCGAACACTTCCGAAGATGCCCCGAATATTTCCGAAGACTTACGAAGATGTCCGAACACTTCCGAATATTTCCAAAGATGCCCCGAAGATTTCCGAAGATGTCCCGAACACTTCCGAAGATGTCCGAAGATTTCCGAAGATGGCTCGAAGACTTCCAAAGATGTTCCGAAGATTTCCGCACGTTTTCAGAAGACCCGAATTTTTCTCTGGTCCCGAGGGTGTCCGCTTACGTAAAGACGAAGAGTAAAAGAGAGCGCAGAAAAATTCGCCTGATACTCAGGTTAGGGAGGTTCGACTGAACAAACAACGACATGATTGACCAATGACCAATTGTCTACGAAATTGCACATGGTAATGACCTCCGATTACCTCAAATTCAATGTCATGCTCTGTGGCGTTGGCCAATTGGCAAACATTTGAATTTTGAGCGGTCCTTTGCCACTTATTCACTCTTAGATAAGAAGCTTCGGAAAAATTCGGTCTTCTGAAAACGTGCGAAAATCTTCGATATACCATCGGAAATCTTCGGGACATCTTCGGAAGTGTTCGGAAATCTTCGGAAGTGTTCGGGACATCTTCGGAAATCTTCGGTATATCTTCGGAAATCTTAGGGGCATCTTCGGAAGTGTTCGGTATCAGTCGATTCGTTAACGGCTCTTGACCGCTTACCGTATTCGATTTCACTACTTCAACCACTATATAAATATATTTGTTTTTATTTTATTTATTTATTATTATTTTATTACTATTTTTATATTTTTTGTGTTCCTGGGGTATTCTGTTGGTGTTCCGGGGGTGTTCCGGGGGTGTTCCGGGGGTGTTCCGGGGTGTTCCGGGAGTGTTCCGGGGTGTTCCGGGGTGTGTTCCGGGGTGTTCCGGGGTGTTCCGGGTGTGTTCCGGATTTTACATACACCCCCCTGTACGTGGTCAGTTTACTTTAAGACAACGTCACAGAACGCACGCAAATAGTTTTAGCAGCTTGTAACATAACTGGTTTCCATTACAGTTCCTAGAAAACAGATTGGGCGTGATCAAATTTTCTGTGCAAATTTTTTGTGCAGAAACTTATAACTTGATGAATTTAATAAGAAGTGCATGATTTTAAGTATATTTTATTTTTCCAAATATCTCTTCTTTGTTAAATGTAATTAGTAAAACCCAATTCCCTATAAGACGATCCCACAAGCTTGTAGCTTTAATATTTATCTGGTATAAGTAAAGTTTGTACTATGTAATGAATTTATACAAGAAGCATAAATCATACAGAATGAACATATTTCATTTTTTTTTAATGAGAGGATCTCGACTGTCTTCGCGGGTGATATATTGCAACAGACACGCGTGTGGTTAGTTGTTCAATATTCACCCCCATCTGTTTCATGTTCGTTGAAGAGAAAAAAAACTATGGCAGGTTTCAGTTGCGCTTTGAAAGAGAGTCTAAGGGGTTAAATTAGCTAATATGGCGTAAATATGAAGACGAGCTTTCCAAAACTTGGAAAACGTAAAACAAAAACAAACGACATTATATTCAGTAGTCATTAGAAAATCCCTAATACATCGAGCCGTCCTGTTACTGCGGGTGATTCTCTTTGACTTTCTATTCATCGTGGCTAGCCATTTTCAAGCGATGATCAGGTGAAAGACAGCTGAAGTTGTCGCTGTGCTGGATTTTTAGAACTGTGCCTTGTATATAAGTATCAATAGTAATAATAATATTTAAAGCCAGGAGGCTCTCTCACCAAAGTGATTTTCAGAAAGGTCCTGGAAAAATAAATATATGTATTTGCGTTATCATTTGTTTCGCGTTAAACTTGTTATTAAGTTCTCTTCTGAGGAATAATGTGTTACAACGATAAACTAGTAACCGTTTGCTGGTCTCCATTGATACTCCTAGTTAGATAGAGCCACTATGAGTGCAAAATGCACAAATGCCAGCACTCGAACCCAGACTGCTCGATCCGGAGTCCAACGTGCTAACCAGTATGCCACGGCATGTTCCACACAATAATTATAGCCACCTGCTTCCTTTACTGTATTATCTAAGATTTTAAGACTCAGACTCGGAAGAATTGCAGCCATTTTTCCCTTGATAGCAGGAAAGGAGTGACCGAGTCACGTGTTCATGCAGCTGCATCGCAAAGGACATGGTACTTTTGAGCAATTTAATTTATTGTGTAGTAACAAACACACGATCGAGTGAAGACGATATCGATCCGAGCACATGGTGAGAAAAAATAACAAAATTGGGGGTTCAAACCCCGGAAACCTAGATTGGGAAGCTGTGTCCAACTAGAATGAAATGATTCACAAAAAAAAACTTTATTCAGTTCTTTATAAAAAACTTTGATCAGTTCTTTATAGATGAAGATCCTCTTCATTGCGTGCACGATACTGTATTGTTTGATCTGTGAAAAGTTCGTTTCTAAGCAACGAGTCTGTTTTACCGCTGTAGCGTTCAAGTACAAGCCACACACAGTTGATCACGACGCACATAATTATAATATAAATATCATCTCAAAAAGCCTTTTACAGACAAGTGAAGCGTTTCTGTCCCTGTACGTGGTCAGTTTACTTTAAGACAACAACACAGAACGTATGCAAATAGTTTTTAGCAGCTTGTGACATAACTGGTTTCCATTACAGCTCCTAGAAAACAGATTGGGCGTGATCAAATTAATTTACAGTGCAAATTTCCTGTGCAGAACCTTATAACTTGATGAATTTAATATGAAGTGCATGATTTTAAGCATATTTTATTTTTCCAAATACCTCTTCTTTGATAAATGTAATTAGTAAAACCAATTTTAATGTTTTATTCCCTAAGATGACCCTATAAGTTTGTAGCTTTAATATTTATCTTGTATAAATAGAGCTTGTATGTATGCATGTAATGAATTTATACAAGAAGCATAAATAATACAGAATGAAGATATTTCTTTTCAGTTTTTAATGAGAGATCTCGACTGTCCTCGCGGGTGATACATTGCGATAGGTCGTCTTCACGCGTGTGGTTAGGTAATCGAACATAATCGAACTCACAAAAAATTTTGTCAATCGAACGCAATCGAACGTTTGATTATCGAACGGTCGGCAATCGAACTCAATCGAACCATAATGGAACGTTCGATTACCGAAATCCTGTTTGTTTGTTTGTTTGTTTGTTTATAAACATTGGTAAAAACAAAGTTATGAAAAATGCCTAAATATCATCGAACTCGTGTATATTTTCTTGACGCAATATATTATGTAGCCTTCGTAGCAAGCGTTCCTGTACGAACGAAGAGCTTTTTCCGCGATCGAAGAACTTTTTTGCATTTTGGCCACGCGAAACTTGGGGCGAGAGCAACCCCTTCCCTACCCCCTCCCCCCCTCCGTCTTTTTTGCTCTCGCCCCAATTTTCGCGCGGCCAAAATGCAGAAAAAGAGCGAGAGCAAAAAAGACGGAGGGGGGGAGGGGTTAGGGTAGCAAGCGTTCCTGTACGAACGAAGAGCTTTTTCCGCGATCGAAGAACTTTTTCTGCATTTTGGCCGCGCGAAAATTGGGGCGAGAGCAAAAAAGACGGAGGGGGGTAGGGGGTAGGGAAGGGGTTGCTCTCGCCCCAAGTTTCGCGCGGCCAAAATGCAAAAAAGTTCTTCGATCGCGGAAAAAGCTCTTCGTTCGTACAGGAACGCTTGCTACGCAGGCTATATATTATGCACCCGGCTCTAACCATTCGATAGGACGGGTTTGACATCTGCATTTTTAACCTCGTGTCAGGGGAAATTCTCAAGAAAAAAAATTGTTTTACTCGTGCACTTGCTATTTTTATCGTCTACGTTGACTACAAGCTCTTCCCCTGATATAATTGTTGTCATGCTGGAAATTGCCCTCCTCCTGTTTACGTCACTCATGGCTGCTATTGAAAAACTCGAAAAACTCATGGCAACAGCGTTCTGGTTAGTCGTCATCATTATTCGCATGTTGAACACCATTGCCTGTGTTGCAGTGAGTGAAATGTTTGAGTTTTACGGTGACATTCAGGGCAGAAGCCATTTCCTTCCCACTACTATAAAATGTAAACAGTAATGCAAATGGGGGGGGGGGGGGGGGGGTTTCTTATTTTCGAGAGGGCTTATTATGCAATCTTCTTGTTGTCTTTCGCCTCTGTTAGAAAACGAGTCCTGGTGCAAAACCAAACGTATGAGATTAGTTGAGACAATTTTAGTTTTACTGGAATTTCATTCGTATA